TTTCAAAGTCTAATGAAAAAATATCCACTTAATAGTTCACTCTTGCTCTAGTGGTCTCTATCACTAGAATTTGTACACCTGTAAATAAAGTATCGTGTAAATTTGGCGAAGATTTTTTGTTGAATCAAATTGAAGCTTTGTATTCTAGTGCATTCACCATTTCTTCCATTACTAGCCGAAATATTTACTTTCGTACTTTACCTCATCAAATTTTGCTACATCGTGAATATCGTCGTACTATTAGTCACTCCCCTGCTATTTCCTCTGATAGCTGTTTACTCTAAGTGATTGCATCTTATGAATCCGAATTTATGCAGTGTAAATAAAATATTCCGGCTTCCAGGAAGCGTGATATTACATTGAAATGTTTATACGAGTATGAAAACATGTTTATAGGAATTATTATCAGCATTTCCATATGAATAGCTTCGCATGCGTTCTCGAAGAAGTGCATATCGAGCACCGGAGAGACCGGAGGAATAAATATACCGATTTATTGTAATAGTTGCATCTCGACTTTCTCTAGCAATCGCAGACTGTTTATGATTATCAAAGCAGATTGAGATAGAAATGCGAAGGTGTTCATATATGGAGTTTCGCAAGAACAGGTCTAGTTGGGAAGTAAATTCATGAAGAACACAACAAACGGCAAATAAGAGCTTTTTTGGCTCTCTACTTTCCATGATTATACATTGGAAAGTTTCTGAAAAACGAAGAAAACAGTTGAATAATGATATAAATGAGTAATGATATAAAACTTCTCTTACATGGAAAAGCTGTCAATCTCTAGTGTACTTCGAAGTTTCAGGTGTAAACACTGGTATCAAATTCCTTATCAGCACCTTTTTGAATAACTTTAAAAAGACATAAAATTACGATTTGATGTCACTGTAAGAGACACACTTGCAACTTTCACACGTTGAGTTAATTCAATGCTAGAGGTATATGAATTTCTTTAAAATTGAAAAGGGAATATTGTTTGCAGAATCAGAGCGATGAAATGATAGGAAAAGGTTGATTTGCGGTATGTTTGGAAAATATACCACCTTTTGTTGTTTACGTCGTAGTGGTCTAATTTGTAAAACACCTTACTAGTCATATTTCGTAGGTAAAGATTAACTCCAACATCTTGATAGCATTGTACATTTGCTAATCGTATTTTATTGATCACATCATATGTAGTGCGTAGTGTTGCCGAAGTTTTGTGGTGATGATTGCATAAAATACTTCAACGCTCGTATTGTTTTCCCCGACAGGTGATAATAGTTCAAGATGATGAACTCATTGATTTATCGTGATATCATAAGTACTTTATACAAAATACATTTTTATGTCGAAACATTGCAAGATTGAGAGAGGATGATCTGTGTTTCACTCTTTTTTTTTTAAATATAATACCTACCATCTGATTTAGAATGTATAATGGACATTTCCGAGACGTTTTCTTAAAACTACAATGAAAAAGAAGATTGGGGAACCAACGGTGACGTCAAATAATGTTTCGGCTCATATAGGACCTCCAATTTGACACTGACATATTTTTTATACTCACAGAAAACCAATAATATAAGTTATACAACAATGTTTAACAATGTTCCAAGAGTTTGAAATGGACCAATTTTCAACACGTATCTACTGAACCCTATAGGTTAATCCTGATATTGATATACAAGGTCCGGCTAGTAAATAACGAGACTGCGCGCCTAGAGGACGCCCTAGAGGGGTGGGGAAAAACGAGTAGTGCGTTGGGTATCTGGAAATCTTCTCTATTCACGTACCAAAACACATTTTCTACACTATTTTAGTATTTGTACATTAGCGGTTTGAAACGAACGTGCCGAAAACCATGTGTTACGAAAAACAGGAGCATTGTATCAATCTCAAATGTTTCGTTAAATTGTGAAAAAAACTCCGACTGAGTACTATAAATTGTTGCAAGAGGCCTATGGGGACAATTCTCTCGTGCGCGTGTTTTTGAGTGGTGTAAGCGCTTCAGTGAGGGCCGAGCAAGGATGTCCATATCAAAATTCAACGCAATGTCGATCGAGTTCGTAAGAAACACCCGGAGTTGTGGAAGAACAACTCGTGTATTTTGCACCAGGACAACGCACCTGCCCATAACGCGCTCTCTGTGAAGCAGTATTTGGCCGATAAACGCACTTCAGTACTCGAACACGCGCCGTACTAGCCAGATTTAGTATCGTGCGACTTTTTTTGTTTTCAAAGATAAAATCTGCTTTGAAAGGGACCCGATTTGAGTCGATGGAAGTGGTAAAGCAAAAAAAGGCAGAGCTCCTAAAGGCCCTCACCAAAGAAGACTTCCAACACTGCTTCGATCAATGGAAAAAAATGTATGGAAAGGTGTGTGGCGAAGGGAGGGTAGTATATTGAAGGAGAGCATTCGAATGTAGAATAATTTTTATAATTCAACCATTTTTTATAACCTGTCTCGTGCTTAATAGATGTAGTATCATTTTGCAGTTAGAAACGCAAAGTTCAAATCGCAGTCAACTTAGAAATTTTCAATTTTTCTGTTAAGCGTTAGGTTTGTTATTCATTTCCTGATTCGTTGTTTCTCCCCTTCAAGGACTATAATTGTAAACATTTGTAGTTCGATACCTTCGTTTACAAGGACAATCCTACCCCTTTGATAGCTCCATTGTAATTTCCGCTTTCGAAAAAACCATCAACTCCCAGGTCGCATATGTCCCATTTCGTCCTTTTTTTTTCCTTCGAACATGCAATCGAAAATTCAACAACGTCCGCTCTGTACGGCACATTACCCAAATGCTCGCAAAGTAAATTTCAAACGGTTTTTATTGTCAATTACGAACGGGGAAACAACGTATTGTAGGAGCGAAATCAAACTTCCGACGGACCGGAAAAATAAACACGAAGCGCGCCCATGTTTGCTCTGGGATAAGTAAACACTCGTCAGCAAAAGCTCTACAGTCAGGAAAAATGTATAAAAAAGTTACAATAGCAGTAGGGTATTTATTTTTCGAGGATCGCACACACCGGGGACGGGCTTGATATGACTGTGTTGACAATTCGAAGGTTAATCCTCCAATTTTGCGAGCTGATCTTGTATTCAGCGTTTGAATACACGAGGACGTCCTTTAGTCTGACAATCTCGTTGTTAACTCGTGCATAACTGTAGTTGAAGTGTTCAGCTGGGACATGGAAAAATCCCCAGTCTGCGAGACACTGATGAGAACAGAAATCAAGTTCACGTTCAAGTATCATTGAAATTGAAACTAGTAGTATTTTCCTCCTATCGTACAAAAAGATCACTTAACTAACTGTACTATGTTTTCCCAATAGCTGGATCGGTAGTCGAGATAGAGGTTAAGAGGTGTGCTTGTTCTCCAGATTTGTTCCCACTTGATATTTTTTGTGATTTAATCAAATCACCTCGAAAACGATACTGTTTTGAAATCATTCCAGCAACGCATCTTCATAATTGTCAAAAAGAAAGGAGCGCACAGTTTGAATCGTTTAATTGACACGGTGACACGGAAATGGCCGATATTTGTTGAGAATCCATGATTACTTCATCATGAGATTTCACTAAAAAACTCACAAAACTGTATTGTATTCGCAAAACGCTATTATATAACGATGAAACATGTGTTACAGTTTTGTAAATATGCCAAATTTTCCAATTCTGGAATATACAGTAGGAAAACAGAAAGTACTGTTCCTTTTTTATTAGGACTATTTAAATGGGTAACTTATAATGGGTGATTCCTTTTTTCGGTTCATATAAAAAATTAAGGTGGGTGATGGTTCTCGAAGACGAAACGTCGAATGAAAAATCTGTAAAAGCCATCTTGAACAGCTTGGAAAAGTGGCAATGAGAAAGCGTTTGTTGCTTTTCAATATATCCTTTTATAACGCCAAAAAAAGAATAAACTGAAATTGGTGAATTTTGGTTTTTTCAATAACTTCGGAACTGATCAGAATTTGCAAATATTCGAATGAGCTCTAAAATGGGCAACTTTTTCTTGATTCTACTAAATCAAATCATTATCAAATCTATTAGACAACACACATTGCTAAAGAATAGCCAAATAGATAGATAAATAGTTCTCTATTTCCAATAGGACCCAATAGAAGGAAATGTATAAACTAGACACTTGTCGCGTGTTTCACTAATTAGTTTTAATACAGATTTTCGTCAAGTATCGGCCACTTCTATTCAATTATAAAGAATGTCGCAAGGTGGCTTGCATAGTCAGAACAACAATAATACAGAAAGAAGAAGAAACTCAAATTATGCAATACGAAAAAGTTTTTACACGATTTCCAAAAAACTGTAAAAATTTTAATCGGGGGGCTATTACACGTGTAGCTTTCACTTATGCGGTTATCCCAATATCAGTGTGAAGGTTCATTAAAAACAGATTAGGAAATATGTATCACAATTGAAAAAATCAATGAACGAATAAACATTAGATGAAATAGATTGCATTACAGGAATCAGAAATATTTCAGTTAAAAATTATACCTAGACATCTATCAACTGAAAATAATTTCAGTTGCTCTTTGATTGCGTTCTCATGTGATCTTTCAAGTAGTCTGGTAGATAAATTTTTATACCAATTCTACCTGACGCTTTCTAGGATTCATTGCTCGAATCAAGGTAAACTTAGATCTTATCTGAACACATATAGATACATTTCAAAGATGTAGAGGTCCACAACAGCATTAGGTCTATTTTTTTGAGCAAGAAACCGACTTTGTATGCAGCGATATCTGCACGTAATTTCTCACAATATTCTCCAATACTATTGGTCGACGGATCTCAGCTCTCGACCGTTCAGTTTGAACATCATATGAATCAGGATTATGCACTGACTTGTACAATGTCGTGAAAAAAGTAAAAATGAGAAACGATAAATAAACAGTATATACTAGTATTGTTATTCTTAATATCATGTTATCAATTTCAACTGTTTATCTATGCCATTCAAATTAATGGGTGTATTTTGTTTCAGACTGAAATAGCCAAGAGACTGAACGCCATCATTGCCCAAATCCTCCCTTTTCTATCACAAGAACATCAACAGCAAGTCGCCACAGCTGTCGAAAGGGCGAAACAAGTTACCATGACAGAACTGAACGCAGTCATAGGGGTAAGCGTAAGTATTGATACCGGTAAAGGGGCTACAAGGAATTACTAAGAAACATTTTTGAAATGTGCTCCTGTGTTATGATGAAATGATATCGAAAGCTATGAAGAAGATAGTTCGGAAATTTTTATGTATATCTTTGTATGATAAATTATTGAATGAAAGGAACAATTCGATGTTATTTCTTTATGGGTGAAATACTGACATTTCTGATTGTGTAGTAGACCGTTTATCTTAAGATTTCAACAATGTGCAGACTAAAAATATCATAATGCAGTTGAATTATTTTCAACAGAAAATTAAATCGAGATGATAGAATGAACTTACCAAAATTGATAACTAACAATGTTTTATTGATGTATTCTGTTGTATTTTTTGTATTACATTTGCAGCTTTCTTGATTTATAAGTGTATTTTTTAAATTGACTTTACAGTGGGGGAAAATGGAAATAACTTAACACCCAAAAGTTCATTTACCAACTTTTTACTTCAAAAATTGTCTCATGTATTTCCATATAGTAAAAGATTTCAAAAACGGTTTCGCAGGTTATTCTGAAGGATTTTCAGTGTAATCTGTTTAAAAAAATCTGTTTTACGTTAACCACCTGTCGCACCCCTACGAACGACAACCTTCAGAAGTCGAAACTTGTGCAAGCTAATGATTAACGAGGTATTACCTTTCAACGTGTGATGCGTTGACATAAATCATCTGTATATGCTTATTGAGTTTAATAAATTATAATCTTTGAGAAACTGAAGACTGGTCTTTTCCCATCGATTCATCTACAAAGAAGATCTCTTTCAAATACTGACCAATGCCGGTACCCAATCTTGTTGAAAAGTCATCTGTTTCCTATTGTAACGTCCCTTATTTTCAAGAATGTCTGTCAGCATATGTCATAGTCAAAAATTACTATAAATTCATTACCTCCACTTCCAAGGAAAGACTGCAAAATCAGTAAGTTTATTTTCAATTGCAAGCATCGAATTGCATTCACATTACATTCTACATTGTTACAGTTGGGTCGACGAAAGAATACGCATACGTCATCAATTTTTTCATCCAATTTAAATCTAGAAACTTTTGGATCAGTTGGTCAGTACTTTATTAATCATTCTGCAAAAACATTTTTAATATTCTATTTTTCAACTCTGACAAATCTCTTCCAGCCAGCAAAACATCAGAAATCCATTTCAAATTTGAGGTTAAAATTTATAATTACGATATAAAATTCACTTGAGTATTGATAGATATAAAGTACCTATTTATTAGTTATGAAAACAACTTTCTGTGTAGTATAAACAAAATTCAAAACATAAAAACGTTGTTGACCCATCTCTTTTTGATCTACTGAGTGCAAGTTATCCAAATCCAAACTCAAATATTAACTATTCTGTCCCCTTTCTTTTTCCAATATAGAAAACTTTGTTTTATTGCGTAATTTGTCGATGACAAATGTGCATTTTTTCAAGTTTTCCCTACTGTAACAGACAGGTTGAACATTTTTTGATGGAAACAGTGCCAATTAGAAAGTTTTTGCCAGATTCTCGTCTTCGCATCTTCTTCGAAGAACTTTAAAAAAATCGATTACTTTTGGGTCGCCCAAGGGGGTAGAAGGTAAAAATTGCTTGAAAGAAGCCTCCTTCAAAATTGAAATTGGGTTATTTTTCTAAACGCCAACTATGAAAAATCAGCCTTGTTTCGTTATCTTTGGCTCACCCTGTATATTTAGGGAACAAAAACCATTCATGGGGAATTCTAGTGAAGCTGGTGAATTCCGATGGTAATCGACTCCCACTAACCGAAACCACCTACCTGCCATTTCACTCGCAACTAATAAAACAAACGAACATCGAACGGTTATAAAAAAATGGCGGGCGTTAAACAGCCGACGTTTTAGCGCCTACACACACAATCCGAGCGATGTTTACAAACTCCTCGACAACTACGATGAGAAACCCACAATGTGAATAAGGAATTAAAGACAATTAGCTGTCTATGCCGCAACGAACAATTGCTCCGAAGTATACATACAGTGAGTAACAGTATTAATTCTGTTTGTTGAACGTTGTTTGCGTTCGTCGTTACGAAAAGTATCGTTCACTTCGCGCCGGGACGTTAATCGACAGGAACAAATTTGGAATTTCAACGGATTTGTTGGCGACTAGGTTAATTGGCTGGAATATTCAAGGGGTGAAAGTTTTAAAATTTATATAATTTAGGTTGTTCAAACGCAGACGAAAAAGATACAATGAATTATATGTTCCTTGCTTTTTCCTTACGTAGATTCCGTCTATGGAATCAACAAAAGGTTCAAACCATGAATAGCATAATAAATGAGGCTTTCCAAGCTTCAAGATCGATCGATCTGTCCTGTCTTTCTCAGCGCTATTTTGACTTTGGTCTCAACGGTTCTTGAACAACAATCATAAGGGTACGTACACAATGGCCCCGAGATGGGCAAATACAAGGTATATATTGATGGTGATGATCGGTATATATTGGCCTGTTTCCATAGCGGTGTTTTATTGAACACTTCCTCAGTGGTCCAATGGAGAGATTAACTCCGAATGTGATGGAGCAATACATTGCGAACTCCTCGTAAGTAGGCTCATTAACCACTCTACCAATGAGGAGCAGTGCTACCAACCACTGCTGAAGATGCCCAGCGTAGTTATGCACAAAAAGTTCGGAGTTAATCTCTCCATTGGACCACGGCTACGCAGCCCGAATAACCAAAGTTCGAATTTGACTTACGACCGTGAGGCTTTAAAACTTTAAGTTCGCCTCCTCAATAAGTATTTATGTATACAGTATGGTAGGTCAAAACATCGCCGTTTCGACCTACCATAGGTCTCATCAGTGGTGCTAGATTAAACCACGAATAAATTGGTATCCTTGAGCGACAAGCTTTAGTAAGTGAAGACGATGACATCTATCCTCAGGAAGATGCTAGAGACCACCACGAAAACCCTTGTTTATCTTGAGCAAGCCTGAAAGTGGATAACATAGATGGGACTAGTAAGGAAGAATGTTCATGCTTACTTAGACTCCAGGTTTGATTCTTGAAGATGGTTGAGTCCTGTACAGATATCAAAAGGTTTGTCTGGTGTTGAATGCCGAATGATTTTGTTTTGTGCCCTGATGATATCCATCATTATCATATTCGAAGATCTATAAGGCTGTTTATTGGCTATTGAGGTCGCATTCTACAATATATCTTGAGAATCAAAAAGTTGCAAAGAGAAGAAAAGATTGACGGTACGAGCTGTATGTGTATGAGATGCATTCTTGAAGATATATTGGTGTATACGACTATTATAAACACAGTAGAAGTTCAGGGAACACAGGTAGCAAAATTTGGAATCTTGGAATGGAAATTCACCATGTCGTCTGGATCATAAAGAAAATAAAGTACAGACGACTCGGTCATTCTAACCCCAGAGCACGTATTAAAATGGATTGAGGGGACATTTACAACAAGCACTGAATATTATGTATAACAAGATGGGCCGAGAAGGAAGGGTGAAACAAGCCCATCCAAATCAGTCGCAGTAATATTTATCTAGAGAAGAGGTGAAGGTGTATTTGAGGTAGAGTTCATTCGGTTGTTGATTTTCTTAAAAATTATCAACAAAGTGAAAATAGATGGAAAATATTTTTTCTATTGTATTCAAAAAAATATGTACCTGACTAATTGTTGTTGAACCACTACATCGTTCATTTATGAAGCCCTACTAATCAATAAAGTTCATTTATATTATATATGTTTGAATATTTAAAATTTCCGACAAAAGGGATGATATATTGATATATTGTTTTTTATTATTACATATTTTGGGACTTCAAGAGAACCGTTACTAAACTTGCATGTCTAAATAACGCCGTTATATTTCCAGAACGATGAAATATGTATAATTTTTATATTCTTGGACGTAGTCTTACACAATGTCTACTTCAGTTCCCTAGAAAAACTAAGCTTAGATATGCATTTTCATGTTTACCGACCTTAAGCACACAACAATACACGCAGACAAAAGTTTGTATTATAAACACTTTGTACAAACAAATATAGCTTCAGTGGAAACATGAAACGTATTCTCTATTTGCAGTTCCATTTTATTGTCGGTTTGCCTTTCGTATAAAAGCAATTTGTCGGACAAATATCCGTTGTTTTGCTCAGTTGTTGATGTGCCAGTTATTGAGAAACGGTGACGTAGTAATATAAATAATTGTTAGGATTATGGCCACTACCGGGTTACGTTGAAACTATTTGAACAAAGGCAATTGTTTGTTGAGTGCTTGTGGGATATTTCTAAGGCTGATTCTTCATTTTTCTTGGGATTAGAGAGTTGCTTTCACGTTGAATAAGAGACATATTTGACGTCAGCTTGTACCTGGTATATTGGAATTATTCATGATGAGAAAATTAACTCAGATGTGACTTAAATAGGAATTAGAATGGTTTGAAAAATGTATTGACTTTGAAAATGATTTATTCTCTATTTTTTCCCAAAGGCTTTTGACGCCATTGATCATTACTCACTACTAACTAAATTGAGCTTGTAGCTTGCTATGTAGCTTGCTCTGGAGTCCCACAAGGCTCCAATCTGGGTCCACTTCTATTTTTAATATTTATCAACGATGTATCACTTGAACTCAGTGCCACCCATCTTCTATTCGCTAACGATTTGAAAATATACAGTCCAGTTAACTGTATTCCAGACTGCTCCTTACTACAAAATAATTTAACATCATTGGAGCACTGGTTCACCAGAAATAATCTCAAACTCAACATCAACAAATGCAAAATCCTAACGTTCTCGCGTAAACAACAACATCCAATTACCTAGGCCAGTTAATAGTGAGCTATATATTTTCGCAGAAGCCAGACTTTAATTTGAGGGAAAAGTCATATTGAATAAGAAATAGGATAAGGCAAGCTAGCAGTGGTGTGGTTCAGACTCATTAATAAAATTTTGTTTCATGAGAGTGCTAACATTCCAAA